GGAAAGGTGCTGGAGGAGGCCAGGGAGTTGTGAGGTCAGGGACTGCGGTTGCCTGTGGCGGGTGTGGGCATGCTCCCACACCCGAGGAACCCTGCACTCAGGGTTTCCTGCTTGCCCTGTAGAATTCTTCCTAATTTGACTTTAGTAAATGTGTTTGCAACTGAGGGCTGGTGGGCAGCGGGTATGGCCAGGGCTTGGAGTCTCAGGATCTACACAGTCTGCCTCCTGTGGCCTCAGAGTGGCTCTCAGCTGCTCCTAGTGCTGAGTCCCACTGGGTTCTACCTGCGTTCCCTCCGCCAGGGTCCAGAAATAGGGTGCATGGGGTGGGAGTGTTGTCTCTGTTCTGCTCTGACTGTCTGACTCAAAGGGGGACGTAGGGCCAGGCGGCTCCCTGTGACATCTCTGGGGAAGGCCAGGTGACACCTTCCTGGCTGGGTCATGGTCGCGCTGTGCTTGACAGTGGATCAGGAAGGGTCCTGTTGCCCACTCTCTGATTCAGGTACCCAGGGAGGCCGGTGCAGAGGTGGCAATCTCCTGAAGGCTCCCGTCCCGGTGGCAGGCTCTGGGACGGGGAGATCCACTCCCCCCAGTTTTCAATCAGTTCTCTAGCCCGGCCCAGGCCTGCTCAGCATCGAGGAGGCCAGTGGCTGGGGCTCCTGTAGAGGAGCCATCGAGGCCTGTGGGAGATGGAAACTGGGGAGAGGAGAAGGGCAGAGCCCAGGAGGCTGGGGCTGCCTGCTCTTGAGATCCAGGTCCAGGGAAAGAACATTCTGTGTGGGAGGTGCTGAGGGCAGCCCTGGAGAGAAAGGCTGGAGGCGGGCCGCAGACCTCCACGGGCTCTTCAGTCACCGCCAACACGCTTCAGGTCTCCACTCGCAGCTGGAGAGCAGCGCGTGTGTCAGGGGACAGAACAGATGAGCATGGGCCGTCTGGGCGGGTTGGGTGGCTCCTCACGGTCCCCATGATCATGGTCCCGGCAGATGAGGGAGGGAGGCCAAGAGCAGACAGAACAGCAAGTGCCAGGCCACACTTCCGCATGGCACTTTGGTGGGACTTTTTTGGGGGCAGCCCAGTCCTCCTCCCTGGTGGTGGCTGGTGCAGGCCTGACGGGAGCAGGATAGTCACTGAGAGCCCTCGACAAGGGAGGCCTCCCTTTCCAAAGGGAGGACAGACCTCCTGCCCTCCTGGTGGTCGGCACGGGGATGTGACGGCATTGTTAAAGGTCGGGCTAATTTAAGGAGGACTTGGCCCCCCTGGTCCCCAAGTATATCTGTGAGATAACTGGGATGCTCTCTACCCCCATTTTAAGCTCATGTCACAGAGGACAGCCGGATTCTCCAGGGGGACATCCCTCAGGCATCCAGGGACCACCACTGCGGGAATCCTTGTTTCCGAGTGACCTCTTCGCATGACCCCAGGTCTGCTACTCGTTCCTTCTCCTCCATTGTCCCAGAACTTGAGAAGAACGGATAAATATTTCCCCAAATGAGTCACACAATACCGTGCAGGCGCCAAGGCAAGCAACTCTGATTCAGAACCAGTTCAGCTGTCTGCTTTGCTCTCTCGGCGGGTTTTTTGTGTTTTTAAGATGATTCACGTTAACTCGCTTTTCTTTCCCATATGTCCTGGACTTGTATTTTACAACACCAGACGGGGATACTAATTAAAATTCAGAGTTCTCTCCAGCAGGGCTCAAACTGAGATCCTAATGATGGTCCTGGCCGTGACCGACGTCTCTGCTACACTTGCCATGATTTAAAGCCCATGCCCTGGTCACTGCTTGGGATGAAAGCGAATGAGCTCTGCAAGTTGAATTTAGAGGAGTGATAACTTGATCACCCAGAAACAGATTACAGAAGCTTCTTGTATTTTTACTAAAGCCCAAGGCTTGCTTCTAGCAAGATCTGTGATTTAGCCAGAAACATTTTATCTACAATGAGGTAAATAATCGGTGACCTGTGCCCACCAGCCTGGCTTCGGGAGCAGGCTCCACCAGCAGACGTGCTGCTTGGGGTTCACAGGACAGTGGTTAAAAATGATTATTTCACATTGGATGCATGTGATGCCATCCAGGACCAGGAGTGGAGCCATTGGCAGAGTCCTCTTCAGGCCAGAGTGGAGTAGGGAGGAGAAATGAGGGTCATCTTCCCTGGAGGGCCTGGTGGGTGTGTATCTGCAGAATGGGGGGCCACTCGGGGCCTCTCATTCTGTGATATGAGGATGATCTGCAGTCTGCGGTCAGACCCTCCTTTCACGTCACCTTGGCCCGAGCTCCAGCGCTGGGTGGGCTGTGCGAGCTGTTGCATTTGGTGCTGCACGTCCTGAGCCACCCTCTGCAGTCTGCTCTCCTCCGTTTCACTGTGCCCCCTGCAACAGGCTCTCTTGCAGTCTCCCTCCTGCCCGCTCCCTCCCTCCTGCTGGTTCTGTTTCTCTGGAGCACTCTGACTGACACTCCCTGTAAAACGCTCCAGTCAGTGGAGTCTGCTCCCCTGAGTTTGGTTTTTAGGTGGGAACATCATCTCAGGAGCCGCTGGTGCATCTACCCCGACCCTCCCTCCCACCTCCAAGGCACTGACCCTCTCTGGGTTGGTTGGAGCCTCCAAAGCTCCTCCTCTCCTCGGCCTGTGCAGCAGCCACGACTGTGATTCCCTTGGTTCTCAGCCACCATGTCTTCTGCAGAGAAGCATCTCCTGTCCCCCACCCCGTCCTGTCTGCCGTCACATCATCGTTCCAATGCTGTCTGGAGGCTGTCTGAGGTCCTCTTGCATATTATCTATTGACGCACTTGTGATGTTTCTCCTCCCTCTGAAATATCAGTCTCCTGTGAGCTGGGATGTGACCATCTCGTGGGGTCCCTGGGGAGCCTAGCGCAGTGCCATCCACACAGTTAATAAATAAATAAGTATTTATTAAATGAATTAATTCCATAGTCCTGATGGCCCTTGACAGCCCACGTGGTGAGGCCTTTATTGAAATGATCTGTTATTCGGAAAGATAATCATATTTGTGTTTATGTATATGAATTTACCTTCAGTGATTCTTACGAGCTGCAAGGGGAAGCATTTCTTCTCTTTGTCCCACTTTCTGTATGCAGAGCTCTCAGGGACAATCTTGTCCTTTCCCTGTCCAAGTTTTATGATGTTCAAGGTTGCCCTCCATCCATTTTAGTTCTTTCCTTCCTGGACTTGAGGCTTTCAACTTCTCACTCTCCATTCGTGAACGTGGAGTAAGTTCACCTCTCAGTTTCCACGCCGTCACACCTTCATGTAAGTCTTACAGTTTTGGATTCCCGGTTGTAGAGGAAATGGCGAACCTCAAGCTTTAGTTCAGATGATTTTTAAAAAGTTTGTTTCTATCTTTTGATGAAAACTTGGTGTGAGAGTTTACTTGCTGTCCCAAGAAACTGACCGACTTGCGGTACACCCAGAGGAGGACTTAAGATGAGGGAGAGATTGTGGACACAGGATCAGAAAGGAGACTTCCATTTTTTTTCCCAAGTAAAACCAGTTTGGCCCTGGACCTTTGCAGCATGTTGAGTGTGTAGGAGGAAGGAATTCTGGATAAGAGGAATATTCCAGTACAGGGATTCTTCAGCCTGCATTTCACTGAACTGGAGGTTTTCAGAGTGATCAGTGAGCACATACTAAGGTTACTCATCTAGAACCTTCTAGTGGGAGCTTGCTTTCACATACAGGCTCATCTGGGAGGACATCAGCCACTTCTCAAAAAATAACAGCACAGCCAGGCTCCGTGGCACACGCCAGTAATCTTAGCAGCTCGGGAGGCTGAGGCAGGAGGATCATGAATTCAAAGCCAGCCTCAGCAACAGTGAGGTGCTAAGCAACTCAGTGAGACCCTGTCTCTAAATAAAACACAAAATAGGGCTGGGATGTGGCTCAATGGTCGAGTGCCCCTGGGTTCAATCCCCAGTGCCCAAACAAAACACAGTGCAATTCTCTCCTCTCTTCTGAACCCTGGTAAGTCCATCATGCCACATCACAACAGCAAACTAAAACTAGCAATGTTTTCTTCATTGTACCTCTCTCTCCCTGCAACTCTCCTTCCTACTCTTTTCCATCTGCCACCACATTTACCTAGCAAGTATTGTCTTGTACAGAACAAAATTTGTGTCCACCTGGAACTTACGGATCTCTATAGCTCCGTGTGTGCATGGCTTGTGGGGGTGGGGCTGGAGAAGCCCTAAACTTGCCAGTTTTTTGTTTTTTTTTGTTTTGCCAATTCTTTTGGAATGTGTTTGTTATGAACTTCTCTAGGGCTGTCATGTTGTACCCCTGCCCCCAACTGCCCTGCTGCCAAGGGACTCTCTGACATTCTGTCTGCACCTGCTGGATCATTTGCAAAGTAGAGCCATGACAAAGAGTCTTGTGGTGCGATGCTTTCTGAATCTGCCGAGCACTGAGGCTCTGGATTGGCCTTGGGAATCGCTGAGGGAGCAGAGGAGTCGGCTTTTAGCTGGAATTCACACTTTACTTGGTGGACATCTACATGTGCACTGACAATTGATTAAAAGGAAATGGCTTCCCAATGGTCATCGAAGACCAGAGAGTGAGAGCAATGGTAGCTCTTAATGCACATGGAATGCACTTGGAAAGATATGCTTCTCCAGATGCATCCCAAGTCCCTTTTATCACTGGCGTGGATCCATTTGCCCACTGCTAGTGACCATTCCCCTCCTCCAACAAACGGTCTGAATAGATTCTGGAGACCACTTAACTCTGACCACATTTTATCAAGCTGTGTGTAAATTAATCCCAACTGTAAAGTCAATATCCATTGAGCTACTTCAAGAAACACAGTGTGGTGGGGATATGTGGCAAAAAGAGGTTAACCATGGATGTATCCAAGTATGACCTGTCCATCCCCGAAATTTCAGGAGGGTTATTCCTGTAGCAGTCTGCTTCAGTGCCTGGTGCCGACATGTGCTGAAGGTTAAAAATCACTTCCAAAAGAACCAAGTGGTACAAAACACAAAGAATCTCTTTTTGGATAATTAAAACTATTTTGAATTTTTTATTTATCAATCTGGCTGCTAATATAATTTTAGTTAAATGAAAGACATTCACAAAGAATAATAGGCATACATACATAATTTCCTTCTCTCATTCTAGTTTACATGCTGTTGCTTGTAGAGAGTGAAATTTTGTGTAATTTCACAGGGATGGAGTCCTAACTGACTTCACAGAAAGAATACTTAGCCCAGTTTTTCTCAGCTCTGATCTCTGCAGTCACCATGCTCACTTAAAAAGTTAAAAAAAAAAAATCAAGAAAACAAAACTTAGAATCAGTAACACCAAGAATGGTTTCTTGGTCTACTGGGGAGGAACTGCCATATTTCACAGCCATCTCAGAAGCCGGCAGGAACATCCAGTAAGTCACCGAGCCTTGGACATGGTCAGACTGCCTGAGGAGACCTGTTTTTGCAGCACATTTTCATCTGGAAAAGAAGCCTGTGAATGTGTGTCGTTTGTCAACACACATTCATAATTGCCTTCTGACAGTTTTTCCTCAGTGCGAGATTTCACTGATAATGAGTTTAGATACCACTTGTATGCCAAAAATATTCTGTAAAAGAAACGCACTTTTAAAATTTCCAACATTACCATTCAAGGCAAGTGTGGTGTAGGCACAGAGCCACCAGGTTACATAAAAATGCTGTTTTTATATTTTGTATTGACTTACTCAAAAGCCAGTCTAAACCACATTGGGTCGGGGGATGAACAGGTAAGGTGAGCTGTCAGCCACATCCAGGTGGGAGCTCAGGGCTTGATGCACAAAAAATGCCACTATTTTTTTTTGGCGTTTGGCTGTGGTGCATTTCCAGTGTTGACCCGTTGGCTCTCTGGAAGTCTACACAATTGATAATTTGGCTGTTGAACAGCACACCCTCTAAGCTTCCACATTCCTGGACATGGCCACGCGGTTCTTTTGATGTGACTTACAACCTCAAGAAGTTGGTCTTCAGTAGCTCTGTTGGCCTTGGCCTTTATATTTGGATTTCAAAGTGTTTCATAGTTAAGAATCAATGGCATCTCACAAATGCTTACGAAGTAGGTAAAATAGCTCCATCTTAAATACAGAGCAAAGAGGGACAGAAGTTCAGGGACTTGGAGATTAAGGATTGGGGCTCTGTTGGCTGATTCTTGGGGTCTGCTCTCACCAGGTGTTTGTTGGTTTTTAGTCCAATGGTTGGGTGCACTATTGCTGGTTTCTCACCCATTTCAGGACCAGGTGTTTCTACTGGGAGAAGCAACTTAGGACCTATTATTGGTTGGCTAATTTAAAGTTCATGTAATAATTGTGGTCTTCCTTTTAAAAACTGCTTAACAGGATAGCTAAAGGCAAAAAATATGAAGTGGTTCAAATCAGGTGGGAATTGTCTGGAGATGTGAGATATAAAGGGGCCGTTAGGTTTCAGAATGTGACAAGGTTGTGATATGGGCAGAGGAGGGAGAGGACCAAGTGGAGGGAGGGAAAAGAAGAGATCCTGTCGCAGAAGCAAGGAAGCTTCTTCTGACGCTGCCTCAGCCTCTCATCTCCACAGCCCACACCCGTTGGCTTCGTCCTGAAGTGCTGCCACGTGTCTGTCTGCGCTGGGCGGCTGCGTAACAGATGTTTAACAATAACCCTAAGACCTCCTCTCTGGCCCAGGCCAGCTCTTTCTCTGGTGCCTCTGCATTCCTGCTCCTTTGCTAAGGAATGCTTGCTTGTCAAATGTAGGGCAACAGGAGAATGTCTAACACTAGCCGTTTAAATTCTTGTTCCCAGCCCTTCAAGAAAATCATTCTTAAATGTTAAGAAGGGCCAGAGAATCATTCAGCAATGAGCTAGTGCCTTCTTCCTGAGCTAACTTTCTTGAGCTCTAGGGAATAAGCTATTTCGAGAACGTCACATTCATTCAAAGCCCCCTGTTCCTGGCTTCTCAAAAGATGTTTGCTTCCTATGCCGATGATGTTTCTTGTACATCAACCCTAAATCATCCATCAATGTTCCCTGAGACTTTAAAACAGTCTCTTGGGGTGTGTGTGTGTATGTGTGTGTGTGTATGTATGTTTGTGTGCGTGTGCGTGTATGCTCATCACTTACAGAGGAGGCTCCTACTAGCCTGTTTGCCAGGTTAGTGGTGTATGGGATGTCAGACGTCGAGACCTGGAATATGAATGACCAGGTAAGACCAGCACTGAGTATGGGTCATGTTATGGCTACGAGGCTGCCACGTGCTAAGCTGTCAAGGGAAGGAATTGGCAGAAAAGTTATTTGATTTTCTTCACGTAAACAAGTTGCCATTTAGAATGTACTAGACAAGGCCTTCATAAACAAAGCTAGGTGTTTTTGTTGAGCCCCATAATCCCAACAAGAGGCGGAGATTTCCAGGGCCTGTTTGGTAGTTAACTTGGTGATTCAAAACCTCATCCACCTTCATGTATCTCAGTGGTCTTTGTGTCCTGTTTGATGGGAATGTGGGAGAACACCTGACCCTTGCAGTCACTCAGTGTCCTAGGTTTGCAAATTTGGTGAGAGAAGGGTTGGATCTGATTTTTCACCTTTTGTGGCAGAAAGAGGAAAGGAGACAGGAAAGAGAAAGAAAGGGTGAGAACATTTTAATACCAGGGGCTAATTTTGATGACTTTTACCTCCTAACCATTTGGGGAGGAAAGGAAAAGTGCTGAGATGATGCCTAAAGTATATGATGATTATGGCAAATGCAAGAAACAATAAATCTCCACCTGGAAATTTATTTTTTTTAAGTGCCAAAGAAATACTTAAAATAGGTTTAAAAATCAGAAGCAATTTTAAATCATAATGTTTAAGATTTGTTTTTCCATATGAGAATCCATAAAGGAAACCTTAATGGTAGTCATCCTGGTGAAATAAAATGGCCTTTGCTTTCAGTACGTCATTTGTCAATGCTGAATTGCTTTAATATTTAGTCAGATTAAATACTTTTCCATTTCCAACGCATTTTATAGAGGACTGGTCAAGCCTTCCTGAAATTTAAGTGTGTGTCTGAGGTCAACAAAAAGCCATGAAAGGGCCTCAAGATTGACTCCCTTTTGTCCCGTTACCTTGGCTCTCAGGGGAATGGACTGGTCCACTGTCTCCTTTGGATTGGGTCACTACTTGCATAATGTGTCCTTGGCAGCTCTGAACAAGCTTTTCCATGATTCAGTCAATTCATGTCCTTTAATAAATTGGGCCTACAGAATCCAACCAACTAGAATCTCCATTTTACTGAGCCAGACCATGGGAAATAGTGTCCACACCTTTTAAACCTCACCTTAGGCTCCTTCATGGAGGAGCAGGAAAGAGTGAGCATAAGTAATTTTTCAAAACGTCGGGGTCTACAAATTTTTTTAAGAAGAGCTTATTAAGTACAAGAGGCTTGAATGGAAATCATTCTAGAAATAACTTTTGCATGATCTTTTTAAAGAAATAAATATATTAAATTCTGTTTTGAGTACTGCAACAGGAAGCATTATCCCATCTGCTTACATGAAGTCTATTATTTCAAAGAAAATCAATGAGCTACTTGTTGGGATAAGTTAAGCTAAGAGGTGTGATAGATTTGACATATCCATTCTCTGAGAAGCAACCAGGCTTGTAATGAACTTGAGCTTCAAATGTGTCCGTCATAGAAGAGCTCTGAATCATGGCAGTGTGTCTATTTTGGATGGAATAACACGTGGTGCAGTTGATTAAAAATATGGCAGTGTTTCCCACACGATTCCAGAGTAACAGCAATAATAACTTGGCTTTATTGTGTTGTGTCATTCAGAGGGCTCTATCTGCTAGGATTTTATCACAGGGGTTTAAAAACTTGAGATTTAAAGCAAAGTAAGGAAAGCAACCTAATATATGCATTCGCTAGGAAGTGTCCATACTTTTGCTACAACTATAAAAGAAAAACAGAGCAAACAAATCATACCATCTGGCTCTAATTCCCCACCGAGGTGTGTCTACATATATAATGTGCTGCAGGTAAAACAAGAAAGATCTTTTGTAACAGGTGGTCACCACAGTATTGTAGCTGATAGTTACAGATATTGAGTAGATCTAAGACTACATACATGGGACAGTGTTATCTCATAGAATTCAATGAAAAATCAAACCCATGACCCAAGGTGCACGCCTTTCCCTGTTCTTCCTCGCTCTCTAGGGTTGCGTTGATCACATCCATCTTTCTTCTAGCCGCCTGTGTGGGCTGGAGCCCTCAGAGAAGTGGCAGAGAGTGGGGTCTCTGAAAACTGGAAAACTGGTTCTCTTTGCCCTTTTCTTCCCTTTTCCAATTTACAGGACACAAAAAGAAATATCATATGAACACAAACTAGTTACTACGACAGCCCATTAAAAGTTGACTCTATGCAAAAGGAAGAGGATGTTGGAGGCCATATGGATGGATGTAATTCAGTTTTTTTTTTTTTCCTCAAGAAAAAATATCCACATTCTAAGGGCTCTTAAAAATGTAAAAAACTTGCCCTGTTACCACGGGATTTTAGAACACCTCTAAACACGCACAAAATAAGACAGATATTACCTACAAATTCAACCGTTGCTTAAACTCTAAAAGCATTTTCTGTATTATTTCGTTTTGATACGGAAGGGGGAACTCAGCTATAAAGAAATATTAAAAAGTATTTTTATAGTGATCAGTCTCAAGAATATTCTGTCGCTTGCCTTCCCCAACTTGTGCTGATATTTGAAGGATGTGCTCAGGAGTATGAAGCGGGGTGCTCTTGTCCCTTTCCCTTCTCTCTACAAGTCCCCCCTCCCTATCCCATGGCCAAATTGCCACCCCTCAAATGAGCCATTCCTTTTTGCTCTCATCAATGGTCTCTGTGAAATTGGGGTCGTTGTTCATGATGGCAGCATCGGCGCTCTCCGCGGACTCGGCTCCCTTGGCTTCGTTGGTGTGGTAGGTGCCCTTGTGACGGAACATGTACCGGATGAGGAAGACCAAGGTGCAGAGGATGGTGAAAATCACCACGGCAATGACCCCTGTGGAGGCGGGAGAGGGACCAGAGGTTAAGCACATCTCGCTGCCCTCTCCCACATACAGCAGACTCTCAAACAGCAGTCTCCATGACGACGACAGAAGGGAAACGTGGCTCGTTTGGGGCCACAGGTGGGTAACGGGAACAACCAAGGCCACCCAAAGTGACAAGGATAGTCGACAAATCATAGGAAGCGTCAACTTTCATACCCTGGACAACAGGTGGTGCCTGAGAACACAGAGCCCCAAAGATGATTTTTTTTTTAATGCTTTTCCTAGCTTTCTGGCTGGTAGTGATTTCTGGACAGCAGCGTAGGGAGGGGTTGTATGAGAAAAACACAGTGTTCCCCCTAATGGATGGGAGAGGAGAGAGAGGATGTGTTCTGCCTAGCAAGAGCTCTGTGGTCTGCACAGAAGTTTCTGGATCTGTGGCTGAATAGTGGCTCCAGAGCGATAGGCCAAACAGGGCTGGAGATGCTCATGTCTCCACCAGGCACAGTGGAGGGACACCACTGAATGGCCAGAGCATTTTCTATAGATTATGAAGATGTTTTGCTGAAATAGCCTTCAGTAGAGGCGACTCAGAATTTCCCCTTAAAAACCTTTGAAATGGACTTTGAAATCAAGCTGCCTAAAACTGAATTGCCTGCCCAAACAAACCTCAAAATTCATTACACTAAGATAATAAAACCCCCAAACTTAGTGTGATGTTAACAATGTTAGCACCCAATAGAAAATTACTAAGCAAGCAAAGAAAAAAAATGAAAAGGTGGGAAAACATCACTCAACCAGGAGAAAAATCAGTCAATCAGGAGGAGATACAGAAATGACAGAGACAATGGAGGTAGCAGATAAGGACCTAAGCAGACACCTACAGTGACAAAGTGGAGTAGCTACACTAACACGAGAGAACAGAGAAGGTTATTCAGAAGAACAAAGAGCATTTGATAATGCCAAGTCAGTTATCCAAGACACATGACTTCAACTGCGTGCATGCCTGAGAGAGCTCTACAGTGAGTGAAATGAAGATGGGAGGGAGCATGAGACAATCCACCATTACGGCTGGAGACGCCAGCACTCATCCGTTTGTAATCGATAGAACAATTAAAACCAGTAAGAATCTGCAACACCTGAACAACACCAAGTTTCACAAGCTGCAGATTGGGAGGAAATATTTATAAGACCTATGTCTGACCAGGAACTTGTATCCAGGATATAAAAAGACCACTTGTAAGTCAAGAGAAGTCAGCCAATCTGATTAAAAAAAATGGAGAAAGATTTTAACAGACACTTCATGAGAGATTTGCACATGGCGACAGGCTCATGAAAAGATGCTCAACAGAAGCGATCACATAGAGGTGCACTTAAAAGCACAGAGACACAAGGACTCATCCACAGGAGTGGATGGATAAGAGGACTGGCAATACCAAGAGCTGGCAAGAATGTGGAGCCACTTGCGCTCTCTGATACTGATTGTGGGACTGTGAAATGGTTCAGTCACACGGGAAAACTATATGGCAGTGTCATGGTTTGGCGGTGTCATGGTTTGGAGGTGTCCCTCCATCGCTCTTGTGTTAATGCAGAAGGTGAAATGATTAGACTATGAGAGCTGTAGCTTCATCAGTGGATTAACCCATTTGATGGATTAATAATTTAAATGGACTGAATGATAACTGTGGGCAGGTTGGGCATGACTGGATGAAACGGGTCACTGGGGGTGTGCCTGGGGAATTATGTATTTTGTCCTTGGCTTCTGAAGCTCTCTCTCTCTGCTTGCTGGTTACCACGAGGTAAGCAGATTCACTCTGCCATCATGTCCTGCCTCACCTCAGGCCCAGACCCATGGAGTCGGGTGATCATGAACGGAACCTCTGAAACTGTGAGCCCCAAATAAATCTTTCCTCCTCTAAGTTGTTCTTGCCTTCAGTGGAAAGCTAGCACTGGCTGTTTTCATGAAGTTAAATATCCACTTTCCATAGTATCCAGTGATCGCAGGGCTAGGGATTACCAAAGAGAAATGAAAACTTATGTTCCCTTAAGACTTGTGCAAAGAACATTCGTGGCAGCTTTATTCATCATAGCCCAGGTCTGGAAACAAACCCACAAGTGATCAGCAGGTAAGTGGATAAAACAAATTATGGCATATCCATTTGATGGAACACAACTTGGCAAGAAAAATAAATGAACTATTGATAGACCCAGCAATGTGGGTAGATCTCAAAAACATGATGCCAGTTGAACAAAGAAAGGAAACATGAAACATTACATGCTCTCAGATTCCAGTTATGGAGTGCTAAGGGAGGAAAAAACTCATCTAAGGTGACAAACGGCAAACCAGAGGTTGCCTGGGCTGGGAGTGGGGAAGGGAGGGTGGCGTGTGCACACAGGGCAGTGAGGTCTGCTCAGGAGGGTGGGATGTTCTGCTGCTGTGCTGGTGGATGTGAGTGTTCCCAGTGGTCACAAGCCATCCCACTGCTGCACTGACAGGTGAACATCACGCTTTAATTAAGTAGATGATAAAAAAGCCAAAGAGCAAAAAACAATCAGGATGGGGACTTTGATGACATTGTTCCTGAGCTTTGGACAATGTGATGTGAGCACCTTTTTGAATGAATTTTAATTTCATGGTTGTATATGTTTCTTAAAGCTGTCTACTCTCTTCCCTTGGGAAGAAACGGGCTGGGTTTAAAGTCCCTGATATGCTTACGTCGTTGGCTGTACTCAGAGAGGGAGGAATCAGGAGCAGCAGGGAGAGAAGCAGACAGTGGCACCTTATGAGCCCTCAATGCTGATCCAAGCCCGAGGGCCTGTGCTAGGGGAGTCAGTGACTCAGCAGCTGCCCATGGTTAGAAGACAGACTGGAATATTTCACGTACTCGGGGTGTTGGATTTTTCAAAGTTTTTGTTAAGATACCTGAAGTCAAATGGCGAATTCCTTCCCATTTTTCTAGAGAGCTGTTCTGGAACATTTGGAATGTGAGAGGGTGAAGAGTGAAAGGAGAAGGGACTAAAGAAATGTCCTGGGTATTGTCATTGCTGCTTACCTAAGTCCTCTGATTCTGTCTGGCTCACCCTAACATTCTCATTTTCACAATCCAGCATTAAAAAGTAGCTGAGTTATATTTATCACCATTTCTCAATCTTATTTCATAACTTTATGTCGTATTTAAATGACAAATGAATGATATAAAAATCTAGAAAATTCTTCCTCCCTCTTCCTGGGCTACTATTTTACTGAGAATCATTGCTCTCCACAGGGGAATAGGCACACAGACACCTGTTCTCGGTCACCCACCTCCAATGATAGCTGAGTTTCTGTTGACTCCATTTCTTATAGCTTGTCCTTGTCCTGGATTATATGGGAAATCAGCACTCGCTGTAAGAGAGAAAAGAAGAGTCAAGTAAGTATAAGAGTCAAGTATACCATTAATCCCAAATAGTTGGATAGCTATTTCTTTATATGATTTTTTGACATCTCTTACTTTCCCAAATGAAATCTCCATTTCAGATGGCCCCATCTTTTTTTTTTCCTCCTGAAAGAATTCAAGAAATCCCCACCCCTGTTCTTGCTGTTTTTCTTTGCACAGGCCTAGGTAAACACTGGCTCATTGGAGGAATACTAGAGAATTCTAGATCCTCCAGGGGCTGGTTGCAGGACCCTTCGACCCTT